TCCAATTCAAGCCTAGTTCGTTCTAGAACAGACTCGTGCTCGAATCTAAGATTACTCAGACTGTCAGTTAATTCTTCCAACTTCACATTCTTAGCTTTTAGCACTGCGGACATTTGTTTCAAATCACTGTTCAACTTTTCATTTTCTATTCCACTTTCTTTGCTTGATTCCTCTTGCAATGCAAGATGCTTCTTGAGAGTAACAAGCTCTTCTTTAGCATTCGTTAACTCTTGCTTGGTCTCAACCAAATCTCCCTCTTTACTTTGAAGCAACATCTCCAAGTTTGCCGCCTTCTCTTGTGAAAACACAATCTCATTTTTGGTTGCATGACACTGTTCTTTCATTTCATCTAGCTTCTTCTCAGTGCTACCCTTGATCTGATCAATCTCTTTAAATAGTGAAACAATTTCTTCGTCCTTGCTCTTCATGATTTTCCTGTCTTCCTCCTTCTGTTCTTCAAGGAAACTGTCATTTTTTTGTAATTTGCTGAGTTTTGCTAATTTTTCTGAATGTCGTAGTTGCAAATCACTTAGGGGTTTCTCTTTTGATTCCAACTCAGCCGATATTTCGTGTAAAAGAATATCTTTCTTCCTCAGCATTTCTTTGCTGTTTGACAAACTTTCTTCTGAGATTTGAAAAGAATCTTCCACTCTTTTGTACTGTGACTCGATACTTCCCAACTTCAAGGACAGTTTCTCGATCTCGTTTTCTTTCTCTTTGCAATTAACTTTGATTGTTTCCAACTTCAAGTTTGTGGATTCTAACACTTCGTTTAATCTCTCAATTTCTACCTCTTTCTCAGTAAGTAGGTGATCTAGCTCTTCTTTGTTTCTTCCAGCTTCGTCTTCTTTGTGCTGTTTTTCCTTTAGCAATTCATCTTTTTCCCGCATTATCAAAGTTACAGAGGTTTCTTTCTCCCCAAGAGCTGCCTCAGTTCGACTTAGTCTTTGTTGAAGCTCTCGCCATTGCTTCTGCGAGGATTCCAATTTATCAATCACATCAGTAGCCTCTGCTGATTTCATATCGGCAAGCTCACAAGCCTTTTTGTAGTCGTGTTGCATTGCCTTGAAATCATTCTTCATTGCTTCCATGGCACTGTGTAAAGATCTTCCTTTCTCCTCCAAAACAGCTTTTTCCTTCATCCACTCCATCTTGCTATTGGCTTTGTCCACCTCTGCCGCTTGCAACTTGTCACAAAGCATCTTATAAGACTCTTGACTCGTCTGACTTTCCTTCTCCTTCCCAACGACAACATTCTCCAAATACATAACTCTTTCCTTGAGCTTGGCTACCTCTTGTCTTTCAAGTTCAAGTTCTTTCGACTTTGTAGTTACTTCAACAGAGATTTGCTGTAATGCTTTTTGGCTCTCAGTTTCTATATCCACCTTCTGTTTTTGCAACAGAGAAATTTTTTCCATCGCTGATGTTAGTTTCTTGTTTTCTTCACCACGTGACTCTTGAATTTCCTTCTCTTTAGAACGCAAATCTGTCTCCTTCTCTTGAAGGGTGTGTTTCATCTGTTCAATGCATTGGTTTAATTCAGCTATTGTGCTCTCTTTTTCCACAAGAGCCAGTTTAGCATCATCTAATTCCTTCTTCATTTTAACACATTCTTCGAGCTGGTCTTTTGCCTTCTGCCCTAATTCTGTGTACCTATTGTCAAGGTGAGAATTCTGCTGTTTAATCTTGTTTTCCAACTCGCTGATGCTTGCTTTAAGCCGAGCAATGTCGTGATCTTTAGTTTCTATCAGTTTCTGACTGTTTTCGAGTTTGTTTTGTATATTACTTGATTTCTTCTCTTGGTCAGAGTACTGTTTTTCCAATGCGGCAATGGCTTGTGACTGTGAGTGCATCTCTTGTCTGTTAACAAAGATAAGAAAAACTTGTTTAACTCACACAACAACATTGGTGACATATTTGTTCATATCTGGAGGAAAGCAGTTACTTGTAGACTGTAAGGTGACCAGACACACTCTCCCTTTCAATGAAATAAGACACATGGGCTGCAGTCAAACTCTCAGACCTACTATTCACTTTTATTATCTTGTGACCCATGACAGCCAGATCTTATCAAAGGTCATGTACCTGACTAAAAGAAGACTAATTGGCTAATGACCCTATGAATAATTAATGAGTTTGAGAGTTACCTTTATCTCATTCAACCTAGTTTAACATGCAGTACCTCAGCTCATTAACCCATCATTTAAATATATCTAGGAATTCTTCAGCTGAGAGATGGAGATGACAATTAAAAAAAATATATATATTTAAATTGCCGAAGATGTAAATTTAACAGTTAGTAAATGCAATATCAGGTCTTGATGTAGCCTTAGGGTTACATTTAGCTACCTTTAAGGCTGCTCTGTCAGCATTTGATAGGGAATTGGTATAGAAGAGATTATAGCTTGGTATGTTAGTATAAATAACAACAGAATGCTCACTCAATTTTGTTTCTGTCAGTAATTCCAATAATGGCTGGCTTGACATTTAAGGAGTATAACAATTTTTCTACTGAGTTCAAATTCTTTATTGAACTTTGTTTAAATAAACTAAATACTAAAGTAGAGGTTGGAGAAATATTCTGTGCAAGAATAAGTTTGCTTTCTATTGAGATCACAAACTGAATAATATTCAGAGCAGGGAGTGACCAGCATTGAGCCAGGGTTATATTTGTTATATTTATCTGAGTCAAATCTATTTAAGTCAAAATTTTGACCATTACACCTGTCAGGCCAGTTGCTAAACACAGCATGCAGTTCTCCATCAGTTAACTTAAAAAATGACTACCCACAATTGTTTGATAGTCAGCCATATTAGCTGTGTCCCTCGGTAAGTTCATGAATTAGAACTTTGAAATTATTAGCATGCCAACGAATTCTTTAAATTATTTGTGGGTCACAAAACTCCATGTAGACATGTTTTTGGTTTCCCCTGTTATCATCTTCTCTTTTGTGGTCCAGATGAACTTCTAGTTCTTTTAGTATCATGACCTACGTAGAGGTATTGTCACTCTGCCTGGAATGGGATTTCAGGCCCAAAAAGGGTTCATTAACTATTGAGCTGTGGAAATTCCATGACTTTCCATGACCTAAGTTAAGCAAGTGTACTGATCAGTTCATTCTAAATGGCAAGCAAATTGCATCTGCATTGCTTTTCTTTCATAGAAAGCCTGCTGATTCACCACGACTTTACTTGATTTTCCAGCAGTCAAACCTGAATTCTGTGACTTTCCAGGTTTTTAAAAAGGAATTATAAAATTCCATGACTTTCCAGGTTTTTCAGGACCCACACACACCCAGTAAAGTTATACCTGAATCAATTCACTCAGGTTTCCTGCCAGTTTGTCTGAATGCTCTTGAGCAGAGTCCCTATGACAGTAAAGTGCCTTTCCCAAGAACATGCAGTAACACTTTGACTCTGCCAAGGATCAAGGGCAGCTTAACATAGCTAATCTGAATGAATTTCAAAAATGTGAGTCACACCTGTGTTCTTTATCTTTCTCCTTTAACTTGTCATTCAACCCTTTGATGACAGCCTCTGAATTGTGGCGCTGACATTCCATATCCAACTCTCTTTGCTTTGCCTTTTGTTCTTTCGAAATAAAACATAGCACTAACTATTAATTAACAGTTTTGTTTAACAAAATGCCATAAACAAGGCTTTTTGTTCATACATTCTTTTGCAGAATTTTTTTGCATTTTTCTTTTTTGAATTGGTACAATATTGCCCACTAAAATTGAGTCAAATTTGGACAGTCATCTGTAATATAATTTTAGAACCTACCATTAGCTACATGGGCAAACCACACAATAAAAACTTACAAAATCTTTATAGTATGCCATATGTCATAATGTCAATATCAGGGGCCTGTCACACTCACAGTGCTGTTCACATGTATTGCAGCACCTGCTTTCATGCCAAGTGCATGTAATGCACAGAAATTACCTGGACTTGACACACGTGATGCTGCAGTATACATGAGTATTACTGCACAGTGTCAACTGCATAGGTATAACTTACCTAAGGCATCTATGTTAGTGTTTGCTTCAACCAGCTGAGACTTTATTGTGGAGATCTCTGACAGTTTTGTGCTCATCTCTTTAATGTCATTTTCCTTTTTGTGGAGGCATTCAGACACTTCACTTAATTCTCTCAGCTTCTCCTTCAGTTCTGAGTCCTTTGCTTCTAGTTTCTCAGTTGCAGAAGTTAGTTCGATGATTTTAGATTTTAACTCTTGCTCTACAGAGGAGTCTTTAATTTCTGAAGTAGAAGGCAAAGATACCTGAAAAATTTATAGCAGTAAAAAGTAAGTCAATCTAGCTGTGAGCATTCTTATCATATATTTTAACATTCAAGTTTCTCAAAGTAAGCCAGCAACTGGTGCAATTCACTGATTACCCTGAGAAACACGCTGGCTATGATTAAAAAATTATATTGACACAGCCCTGGTTTATTTTAGAGTTCAGCTTTGGTGGGATTTCTGCAATTTGAAAAAAAAATATTGCTTCAGAGTATCACATGGGGCACTTAAAATTGTGCCTGACGAAAAAAAAAGAGTATTTCAAAGTACTTTATTTCTTTGTTAAAGTACTTGAAAACATAATTGACAATATCAATATGAAAAGCTGCAGATGTAGAATACTTACTTTGAACTTAATGACCTCCAAATGTCTCTATTGCTTTTCTCATCTTTGGTTTTATTAATACCAACTGGACTATACTAATAAGTTTTAATACTTTTTGGGGTGCAGTAGCCCTTTCTTTGAACTCCATTTTTGTACAAAAGCCTCCTACAAAAAGGCAGGGTTCCCAGTGGCCCTGCTTCAACCAATTTTTAGTAAGAATAAACCATGTCAGTGTAAATATACATTGTCTGTTTAATTTAGTTCCAAGAGAAGTTAAGCCAACACAAAGTGGAGGTGACAAGTCATGGATATTTAGTGAGCCATGAAGCAGCAAGGCAAATAACTCTGACTTATAAACCTAATAATTGTATTTCATCATACCTCACTGTCAACTTTTACTGGAATGAATTTTAGTGCAAGTAGTTCTTTTTCAATTTTCTGGCGCTGTTCTCTCTCCATTTGAAGATTTGCTTCTATTTCCTTGATCTTGTTTTCCTGATTAGAATGCCATTCCAACTCAGATTCTGATCCAGATGAGCTTTTCTGCACTCTTGCATGTGGTTCTTCGCCCAGTCTTTTCAGTTGACTCTCTAATGCTCTTACTCTTTCTTTATGACCTATAAAGACAAGCAGTTTCTTTACCATACTTTCCATTAGATAAGCAACAGTAAAATAGTTTGTGGTGAAATTGCACTCGTGTCATGCAGGAAGGTAAAAACTGTATCACTATGATAATGTGAACTAATGTAGGACCCCTTATAGTTTAAACTACCAGACAAATCAGAAAACAGTTTAAAAAAACTAAAGGGTAAGGGCTAACTACAGGGTTAAAACAATTTCTGAAAATTGTTTTTCTCTCTGATATTGCATTAGAATATGACTGCTAGTACAGGCATGTTTCTAAACTAAGAAGTACAGCTGTATAAATGGCCACAAGTAAATTATCCAGCCTGGTTAATGCTTGCTTGATAAAGTTAGCCATTTTGGTGCCTGGCCAAAGCCTCAGAGTGAGTTCAAGAGGAAAACCTCCAATTCAAAGTGTCTTGTTCATGTCACCATCCCAATATCTTCTGTCTGCTCTTGAGACACTTGTTTGAATTTCATCTGATCGACTGAAGTAAACTACAGCTGTTGCTTGTCCTTTATAATCAAACGAAACTTGTGCACTGAACTTACTCAAGTCTGCATTTGGATATCATGCTTTGAAATTATTCCAGGCTTTTGTCTTTGCTTTATCTGCAATTTCACTCACTTCATCTGATTTTAGCTACACAAGCCCCAAAGGGCCGGAACTTGAAGAGTTAAACATTTTCTTGCTTTCATAATCAAAATGGTTGTTTGGACAATTAATGCAGATTCAAATAATTACACAGTTTGCTTCTGAGAACCTCTCATTAAATCAAACTATATCAGACTGTTGTCTTGTTCTCTCTATAATTCATTGTATAATTTAAAGAGAAGAGGAGAAATATCTATCACCAATAGACAAAACAATGCAAGTGTTGAAACAATTCCTTCAGGCAAATACACTCTTGAGGGCCTTGTGAAAGCCCTTGTAAAAATTATTAACTGAAGGTAAAGGATTTAAAGTTACAATGAATGATTCAAAGGGTAGGAAGGGTAATCCTTAATCCCCAGAAAAAGAAAGTTAAACTCAATAGAGATCTTTCTTCACTCATGGTTTGACCAACATTTAAAACAAAATGTCTCTGTGAATGCTTCTGATAGCACTTGACAGCATATTTATGGACTGAACACACTCCTCTGGTGTATACTTCTTTTGTTTTCATCATCAACACCAAAGTAATCCATTTGTCTTTCTTCACTTACTGAAGGGTCCAATTTGATGAGAGAAATCTGTGACTTTCAACTTCTGCTGGAACAAGCTCTGGAAATTTTTTCCACCATTTTCATCTTTTCATCATTAGGAAAATCCCTGGTATTTGGAATCTTGTGACAATCCTTTGCATAAAAGCTTGAAGATAAATCGAAAATTCTGTGATACGTTTCTTGTTCATATTTTACCATGTCTGCAACAACTAATTAAAGCTTGTATGCAAATTAATGTGACAGAATTTGTCTGTTGCACCAGACCAGTTTTCATTGGTGAACAATTTTGTTGTCAATTCTGATGTCTTCAAATGGGCTTTTGTAAAAACAAAAAGACAGGTGATTTTTGTTCACAAACATTTTATCAAAACTAAGCATGCACCTGTGAATAATCGGTTAACTTTAATAATTGACATATTTTTTCCTGAAAGTTCTTGCAATCTTTTTTCAAACTTGTCCCTGCAAGTTTGATATAACTTATCAGCTATCAAATAAGCTTTTCATAAAAAACAGGCACCTATGCCAATGCCAATCTTCTTTCACAATGATTAGATAACACTGTTATGACAGAAGATCAAATCAAGGCACACAATAATTTCTTTGTGAGAAGATACAACATTGATATTTGAAAATCTTCACACAAACAATCAATACCCCAATGGTGCAACAAGAGAATTGTTCCAGAGAATAATATTCACAACCCCTCTTCAGAACTCACGATTGAGACATTGTGAATATCATTCACCAGTGAAAAATTAAAGTTGTCTTGAAATCAAGGTTGTTTTGAAAATGTGTAACAACTCTCTTTTTGAAATCAAGGTTGATTTCAAGGTTGACTTGAAATCAAGGTTAAATTTATGAGTAGCCTTAAAAATCAAAGTTGTTTTCAAAATTTTTCGGATTCCCCCTTTTATTTCTACTAAATGTCAATTATGATAAAGAAAAACCAAAACAAGTAAATATACATTTCCTCTACATTGTTATAGGCAGTCCCTTGTATTTCAGCACAAATAGTTGAGGAGCACTTGGAAAACAGTAAACCTGATTTGACGACTGATCTTATAATCTAATTACATTTTTTCTCAATTTCAAAACTTATGGACCCTTCAAATAATCAGCATGTATTATTCAAACTCTTCTTTCTTTCCATATAAAAAAATCAAACTGTCCTCATCAGACACCAGACAGTGGATTGGAAACGTCGAAACAACAAAAAAAGAGAGTGTATGAGACATAAGTTAATTTTGAATGTATTTTTTAAGGGAAATTTTTTTGGAGTAAGGAGTACAACATTTTAAATGAATACACTACACATGCCCTGTACTGAAAATCTTACCGGCGAGTTGTCTCTGCAGTTGGTTATTTGCCTCTTTTGATTTGGTCAAATCCGCCATCTGTTTTTCATATTTTTCCACAAGCTGGTTATGATCGTGCTGCAAATGATCCAAAACATTTGTCAGTCGAAGTTTACTGGCACTTTCCGTATCGAGCATCTGTTGACAGCGAGCAAGTTTACCATCAAGGCAACGAATCTGTGCTTCCTTCGCATTCAAATCGTGAAGAGTCTTTTCTCGATTTCGCTCTAACTCTTGAATGGATTCAGTCAGGGAATGATTCTCTTTCTTTAGAGAGGAAGAGTTCGCCTTTTCATCATCTGTTAGCTTCTTCTGTTTGGCCAAAGCAGCTTGTAAACTGTCCAACTGAAACTGCCTTTGTTTGCAGTCCTTCTGGAATGTTTCACATTTTTGCTCAAGCTCGTACACATTTTTGATAGCATTGGCTGATAATTCTTGCTTCCATTCTTCTTTTGCCCAACTCATTGCCGAAGGAAGCCTCAAAGCTTTACGAAAAATTACTGAAAATCTCTACTTCGATTACGAAAATCCCGCCATAATTCGAAAGCCCAGTAGTGTTGTTGTCAGATTTCCTGTGAGTGAATGACAGTTGATCTCAGTTGATATTCAAATCGGGGCCATTCTTGATCGTTGATTGGTTAGTTGGCCAAAACGCAGAAAATTCAAAGTGAGGCAAACCTACTGGGACAGCTTCTCTCGCCACCGGACAAATATGATAGATAAATCCTGGAACACAAAACACTTTGGTGATACCATAAGCAGCCGATGAGCATTGTTTACAATCTAGTTGTCTCAACAATCATGCTGCAGGCAACTCACACAAACGATGCTGTAGATTTTGAATTCAGTTAAAGTGTATGGGCATGTTGTAAAGCTTCATATCATCGCACTAAAATTGCTCTACGAATATTCTTATTTAACATCAAAAAGGCTATTTTATTCGGAATGTTGAGCATTCCCGTTTTTATGTCTGAGGACAGAAAATTTCAAGGGTTTGACGATGGATTCCCATCAAAGCGCATGGTTGAATGACTTGAGAGAGGGTTCAGTTTCGCCTTTTCTGCGGCGAAGTTTGAATGAAATTCGATATTTTCGGTCTGTTCTTGACTAAGATTTACATGACATTGACCAATCACAGTCGAGAATGGCTCTGATTTAAATTATCTCAACTGTTAGATTCTCTCGCAGGGTCATCGACTGATCGAAGAATAATACTGGGCAATCGAGTTACGGTGGGATTTTCTCAATCGATGTAGTGATTTTCGGAAGTTTTTTGTAGATCTTTGAGCATTCCTTCTGCAATGATTTGGGTGGAAGAAGAGGGGAAGCAAGAACTATCTGTCAATGCTACTAAAAATGTGTACGAGCTCGAACAAAGATGTCAAACGTTCCAGAAGGACTGCAAACAAAAGCAGTTACAATTGGATAGTTTACAAGCTGCTTTGGATAAACAGAAGAGGCTTACAGATGACGAGAACGCAAACTCTTCCTTTCTGAAAAAAGAAAATAATTTCCTGGCTAAATCAACTCAAGAGTTAGGGCAAAATCGAGAAGAGACTTTTCACGATTTGAATGCAAAGGAAGCCCAGATTCGTTGTCTGGAACTTCGATTGACAAATGTTTTGGATAATTTACAGCACGATCATAACCAGTTTGTGGAAAAAGTTGAAAAACAGACGGCGGATTTGACCGAATCAAACGATGCAAATAACCAACTGCAGAGACAACTCGCCGGTAAGATCTGCTTTGCAGGGCATGTACAGTGTAATAATTTAAAATGTTGCAGTCCTTATCCCAAACTTTTCCTCTAAAAATTACTTATACAACAAATTTAACTTATGTCTCGTACACTGATTTTAACTTTTCTTAAAGTTAATTTCAAGACGTTGTTAAATCAGGTCTATTTCAGAGAGGAAAAGATCAATTTTGCTGAGTTGAGTGTTTCCCAATGCTTCTAAACTATTTGTAGCGAAATTCAAGGGACAGATTCTTTAACAAAAGAGAGAAAATATATATTTCCTTGTTTGAATTTGATCTCAATGGACATCCCTCTACAAGGCAATCATCTTCAGACTCTTACTGATTGTTTGTCTTAGAGCCCAGCCTGATGATTAAGCCTATAATAATGATGATAGATTTTGAAACATAACTTCATTCTTAAAACTGTTTGCATACCTGTACATGTAGTAGAGGTTTCGGGTAGTATTATTTTAAATGCCCTTTAAGGTACAGTGTACTTGTTGTTATTAAGAAGTGTTTGTATATTTGTGTGATTTTCTGTTGCTATCCAGGATGATCCAGGCTGGATAATGTACTGTTAGTCATTTATACTTCCTAGTTGAGAAACATACTTGTTCTGGCAGTCACATTTTAAGGCAATCACAAAGGGAAAGTCAGTGTTCAGATGTTGTTTTAGCCCAGAGCTTGGCAAATAAAAATTAGTTGGCTTTATAAAGCTAGTTTACCCCATCATCTGGTCACTTTTTACAAGTAAAAAGGAGGAGTCTAGGAAAGAATGATGGACAATTTTGGTTAATCCTTATCAAAGTTAGGCTTTTTTTCTTTTTTTCATGTTAGGAACTCTTAGACTTAGACACATTGCACTTGAACATAGAGCATTTCTCCTGAAATGTGTGTGTGTTTTTTTTTCATTCATTTATGATGAGCTTGTTTGAACTGAGGGGTACCTTACACTGTCTTGTTTGCTTTTCTTGGCAGTTCAAAGTAGCAGGGTTATATAGTATTGTTACCCAAGACCTGACCTTCAGTTGTTAAAGGAACTATTTAATTAATACTGGTTGTCTTTTAAGATCACAAAGAAAGAGTTGAAGCATTAGAAAGTCAACTGAAAAGACTGGGAGAAGAACCAGATTCAAGAGAGCAGAAGAGCTCATCTGGTTTTGAGTCTGAAATGGAGTGGGAATTTAATCAGGAAAAAAAGCTAAAGGAAATAGAAGCAAACCTTCAAATGGAGAGAGAACAGTGCCAGAAGATTGGAAAAGAACTGCTTGAACTAAATGCCAATTCTTTGAAAGTCAGTAACAAGGTATGGTGAAAATACGACTATTGGTTTATAGCACATACTTCACTCGAATGCAAGAGTGATCTTTGGAGTAATGAACACTACTTAACCAGTGATAAAAATAACGTCTGAAAAAAATTTAGGCCTGTAACAGAGTTGAACTCATGACCTCTGTGATACCAGTGCAGTGCTTTAGTTTACTGAGCTAACAAGCCAATGGGGAGCAGGTCATTATGTTTGTTCGTAATAAACCAGTGAAATGATGAATGAATGACTGTATATCATTTTAACGAAATGCAAATAAAGAAATGAATGTAAGAGTGATGTTTGCTTCATGATGAACACTACTTGAAGCAGTAGTGAAAATCACTGCAGCTGTGAAGATCAATTAATCAGCAGTTCATGTACATGATTTTAGTCTGGCCTTGTTACTGTTTGTACAGACCCGTACAGTAGTTAAACCAGTTTTAAAACTGAACTGGGTCAGCCTGTCTAAATATCACAAATGAATAATAGATATGGTAAATAGATATTCTAAAAACTATATACTTATATACTAGGGGATTTCTGATGACTTTTCTCTCCATTTTCTCTTATATTTTAATAAGAAATTTCAATCATCCCAAGAGTGCCTGTTACATACAAGAGCTAGAGTTGCTTTTTCTTATAAAGTATTTTCATTGTGCTAAGCAATGTTGTAAAGGTCAAGATGTTTCAGGCTGAGGTATCCAGCCATTATTTCAGTGAATGCTTCAGGGTTGTTGTTAAGGTTTGCAGAAGCTGGTTTGTGATAAAGAGTAAGCACTACTTGGCATGCTTGTAATGTTTTGCTATCATTCTGCAAATTGCACTGCAGGCATTCAGTGAAATGCACTAGTTGCCCTCTTATTTTAAAAATCCTGATTGCTCCAATATTTAACAATGTAAAGATACTATAACTATACAAATCTGATACAATATATTAAAGTTAATATGGCAACCAGGTGGACAATCAGACATGGTTTGATGCTACTCTGGTTTACAGATTTAATGAATGTAGCCAAAGAAGTTACAATTCATAGACCTAATGTTTCAACACTCCTATCTAGTGTGTTCATCAGGGGTGGATGATGAAGGCACAAGACTGGAGTGTCAAAATGTTGGGTCTATGAATTGTAACCTCTTCAGTTACATTCATCAAATCTCTAAACCAGAGTAGCATCAAACCATGTCAAATCTGATACACTTAGACTTTGAACAGTAGAATTTAAGCATGCCCTCGATATGATAAAAACCCATGATGGGAAAAAATAATTTGTTTACTTTTACCATCCTCCTTGAATCAATCGAACTTGTTCATATTAAATGCAAATGTTTCCATTTAGTCTGAAAATGGCTGGAAAAAGTTGCTCACTGTAGAATGATGCAGTTTGCCAGAAATATCATACATAAGCTACTGTAACAGTACCTGTTGAAAAGCATCTTGCATGTGGAATTTGTTTTTGCCAAAGGGATAAAATCACTTCAAAATGCATGTATGTATTCATAGTGTGTGCTTACAGCTAAATCTACATCTCATTTTTGTCTTCTATAAAATTTTCAGGTATCTATGCCCTCTACTTCAGAAATTAAGGACATTACTGTACAACAAGAGTTAAAATATAAAACCAGTGAGCTAGCTTTGGCAACTGAGAAACTAGAAGCAAAGGACTCAGAAATGAAGGAGAAGCTGAGGGAGATGAGTGAAATGTCTGAATGCCTCCATAAAAAGGAACATGACATTAAAGAGATGAGCACAAAACTGTCAGAGATAAACAAAATTGAGTCTCAGCCAAATGAAGCAAAGACTAACATAGAAGCCTTAGGTAAGTAATACAGTGATATTGAAGCATACTGCAACAGCACATGTGTGTCAAGTGCAGGTAATTTCAAGGTATTACATGTACTTGGTATGGAAGCAGGTGCTGCAATACATGTGAGCGGTGCTGTAAGTGTGACAGGCCACCAATATTTACATGTTGTACATTATATATATGGCATACTACGATGATTTTGCAGGATTATATTTTGTGGTTTGTCCATGGAGCAAATCTTATGTTCTGAAATGATAAAATTTTCTTTAAAATCTGATCTAAATGATGTATTTATTCAAGCAGTGGAAAATGTAAAAATGAAGGCTGGTTATTGTTTTTATCTTCTGGTACCTGTTGGGTTACTGTACTTGAGTGTATTACAAATGGTTGACTAAATTTTGTATAATTATTGTGACCCTCCACACACTTCAGAGCAAGAGAAGGAAACTCTGGGGGGTAGACTGCATGAACTAACTACACATTGTGAACTAGTGGAAAACATGAAGGATGCTTTGAATGAAGCAGAGAAAGAGGTAGGTATCTGTTTTATCTAACTAGGCAATATGGTTTTTCTGCATAGTAGACAACCTCCTTCCCAGGCTCCTCTCTCTTCCTTCCTTTTTCGAGGGAGCAGGGAGACGACCCTGAGAAGGAGGTTGCGTTTCAGACCGTTCTTTCAGTTCTGATTAGCTACTTGGATATTTTCTTTGTTGTTATTGCTTGGGTTTCACCTTGTGGAAGTTACATGTTTTTTGCCAAAATTTACTTAGTTACAGAATAATCAATATCTCATGTCAGGTGCCCTACATGCAGAAAAATCCACAGCCTCAGGAAATATGAAATAGATATCGGCTTCAGTGCATCAATTGTCTGTGGTGTTAGATTTTATGGTAAGAATTAAATAGCACGAGAGTAAAGTCCATCATGTCTTTATCTTTCATTTAGCTGGCAGTTCTTCGAGCAGAAAGACAGGATACAGACAAATGGCTTGAAAGAGAGAGACAAAAGATTGTTGAGGCAGCCAGAGAGTTTGCCTTGCAACAAGAACAGACGTTTAACAACGAGGTCGGTATTCTAGAGTACAAACTGACTTGTAAAGACAAAGAACTACAAGAGATGGAATCCTTACTAAATCAGTTGCGACACAATCTTAAAAGTTTACAACAAGAAAAGGTAATTGAATTTTTCTGGTTGTTCACGTTGATTGCCTGCTTACTTCTCTGATTACCATCGCCGTAACAAAATTTAAACATTTTAGGGACTCTCTTCTGTTTCCTTTACGTATATTCGGTAATCACCACTTGTAAAGGTAGGAACCCATTTGCTTACTCAGGGTGAAGAAAGAAATATGTTTCAGACATGTCAGAAAATATAACTAAGAAAAATTACTGATAAAAGTCGAAGAAAATTAAATTCTTACACCCCTACCACCATTTGATACTTTTGTTGATCGCATCGATCTTATTCAAGAGTGCGGGTCTTTTTATTTGGGTTGGAAAGATTCCTGCTAGGGAAGCCTTAGAACCACTACCGTATTCTATTCTTTGAATTAATGCAAACCGACAAGTTTATTTTGATCACAAGACCAGAGAACTGTCGTTCTGTCTTTTTAGAATGTACTCCTCGAGGCAGCCGAGGAAAGGGACAGAGAATTTGAAGAAGAAAAGAAGCTGTGGAATTCCGGAATTTATAGTAACGGGAAAATTCAACAGTACATCTCCGATTTGAACGAAGAACGCCTAAATGTAAGTCACTTGAAAGAGAAATGCAACGGGCTTGAATCAAGGATGAAAGAACTTGAAGATGTAAACTCCTCACTGCGGAAGGATTTAGGACGGATTCGCGAAGAAAAGAAACTCGAGACGGAAGGTAGAGAAGAAGCTTTATCGCATAAAGTTGACTTTCTGCGCTCTGAATCAACTAAACTTGAGGAAAAATTGCAAACAAAGGAATCTCTAGTTTTAGGCCTGATTGACGAGAGAAATGAGTTATCAATGACTGTGGCCTCTTTAGGGGAGGAGCTCAGTAAATCAGCTCAGGTTGTGACAGAGCTGCAGCAACAATGTGACTATATGAAGGAACAGTTAGAGAACCTCAGAGAAGAAAAGGGTCGTCTTGAACAAGAGAAAGGTGCCTCGATGATGCAAGAAAAATTTTATACAGAAATATCTTTGAAGAAAGTCCGCGAACTTGAGGTAAAGCTAGGAAAAGAAGTGAAAGAAAAGAAGGAATTGTCAAATATTGTCGAGGAAATGAGAGGAATTCTTGAAAAAGAGCAGAATTGTCTCAAGGAGAAAAACCAGGAGCTGGCTGAGGTGAAGAGATTACTGCAGCTTGCTGTTAAAGAGAATGAAGAATCCATCAAAGATAAGAAAACTAATCTAGTCGAACTGACGTTTTCGTATAAAGATCTGAAAAACAAACTCGATAAGACGGAAAAGAATTTCGAGGAAAAGTGTAAAGAGCTAAAGCAGGTTAAAGAACAGCTTAACCAAACAGAAAGCGAAGTTAAAAAATGGAAAACCATTGCAAACCAGAGGAAAGCTTTCGCCACCAATCTAAAACTTGCAAACAAGCTAGAAAAACTCAGCTGGGACAAGAACGCTGCATCACCTTGCACAGACAATGCTGGTGCTGGAAAAAGTTCAGATGGATCAAGTTCATCCAAGCCCTCTGGAGTGAGTTTCTTAAAAGGAGATATTCTTCTCTCGCCACTCGCTAAATCCTTATCCAACCTAGAAATCAAGTCCCCTACAACCGTCACTACACAAGCGGCTGCCACGCGGGAAACGTCCTCAGCACCAACAAGCAGAACACAGCGGCAGACCATATCCACGAAGGAAAGTTTGCCACTCGAAGAAAGAGTTACGGATGTGTACGTTGAGGCGAATAAAAGAGGAATTTATAAACCAAATGGTTCTGTTGACACCAAGAAAAGGGCAGGCCAGCAAGGTAAGTGCTGTTTTAATACTGAACAATGTAAATGCATGTCCACAAGAGAAATTTTCTGGCTGAGTGTCACAAGTATTCCAGCAATGTATTGGTTTTGCTTTGCTGCTCTTTGTGTTTGGAGAGTGGCCATTTTCGGTATAATTGCAACATCCTGTATAGCCTATAGGCCATAAAAAAATTGGTGTCTAGTTTTTTCACCAACCTACTTAAATGGCAGGACTCAAAACTATACACGCGCAGATAATCGTAAGCGCCTGCAAAATCGCACTAATTTAGTCAATCATTCATAGTTTTTTTTATTGGGACCGTCAATGAGTATTCCATCCTCCCAATAACATCAAACCAATTTGTGATGCTAAACATACCTTATTCCATGTCTTACAAGATGCGGTCATCGTCAACTTTAGTTTGGTTTTTTACTCTTTTCTTTCGCCTCATAGACATCGCCTTTTGTTGTTCGTAGGAAGCATTTATTTAGCCAAGGGAACTTTCTTAGCACCACTGGTTACTTAAATAATTATGAAAAAAATTTTTCTTAACCCTCCATAATTTGTTACTATATATACTAAAATATTTTGTTCTAGAATAGTCTCCTAGTTTAAAGACTGGCACATTTATTTGGACGACAGAACTTGTCAAAGAAGAGACGTGAAATGTTTTATCATACAAACTGCGAAGGAATGTCCTTTTTAGGGAAGCATTGCTTATCTTTACAATTTTCTTGATGTTCTCTTTCACTATAGCGTCAGATGTCAGAATGGCCAAGAGACGACATGTATCCAGCGGCAATGAGGCAGACCGCCAGACTACCTCCACAGCGGTGAAAACCCGTAGTGCAGCCATGAAAGTTGTTCAGCCTACATTCACGAAAGACGGGGTGAGTAAGATTTGTCGAAGCAGCAAGTCGTGCAGCAAGTATAAAGTGGTGTAGTACCAAGGAATGAACATCCTATAAACGAACAAAGAGAGGTAGCCACTGGGCTATCGCTTGATTTTCGGCAACACTAAAAAAAGTCAATTAGTTAGCTCTGGTTCTGATATAAAGATAAAAAACGTTAAGAATGTGATCCGATTCTTGTAAAAGAATGAACAACATATTGATTTGCTCTTTTTCTCTCTATTTTTCCAGGCAGAAAGTCATGTGTCCACTTGTGTTCCCCCAAGGGGACAGTTCTTCCCTCCGGAGATGCCCCTGTCGCCACGGAAGACAAAGTCTGTCAACATACCGCAGGGTCCAAGGCCAAAGATCCCTAAACCTGGGAGGAGTCAGTTGCCAAGACACAACAATCAAAAGATGCCAAGTAAGAAAAATATCATAAATAGACCACATTTGTGGCAAAAATTTGCTCAGATGTTTGTTCGCGGTCAGTTTTCCGACAGCAAAGCTTATTTTCTTGAGACAAAAGAAGCGTTCCACGATCAAGAGTTCGTACAGGTCGTGGCAAACTCTGTAAATCATGGAATTTCATCATATCACTTCTCAATCATAGAAAGTCCTAAAAATTGAGTAGATGGGTCAAAGAAATTAATGTTAAATGACTTGGATATTAATCAAAATAAGGAGAAGGGAAAAAATGTCACTAAATAAACGCTTACACGATATTATTAAATCAACCTCTCGATTGTTGGTCGCCCGAGACACAAAGAAATGTACAGATCATGTAAAGTTATGGAACCATAAATTAGAAAGAACAACGACTGTGGATAGATTCATCTTTGGGATTTTAATAATCTCTCAGTGTATTTGTAGAACTTGAAGTCGTTTAGGTTGTTTGCTTATTTTGCTCTTATTTTACAATGAGCCTCGCCCTCGTGCATTAGACCCAGTCTCCTGACTCGCTTCCAAGCATATCAAACATGGTCTACCGGACATTCACCTATCTTTTTTGTGGTTTTTTAGGTGCCTCAACACAACAGGATAAGAGTCGGAGACGGCAGGCTTTGGGAGAAACGGCAAGTAAATCGACAGGCAATCAGACAGAATGCAAGATGCAGTAATTGTAACGGCTGGGTGGACATATTGCCTCGCTTCCGTTTGAACCTTGTCAGTCAAACAGCATACTTTGCGCGCGTTTGGTAATACTTCGATTTTTCTTGATATACCGAATTGGGAAACTTACTCTAATTTTTGCCAAAATCAGATGTGATGCCGCTATTTACATACGCAAAGATCTGAAATCTACGTTTTCAAGAGTGAGAGGACAGTTCTTCTCTGTAAGGACAAATGTATTTTCATTTTTTCGTGGGGCAAACTGCTTTAAAACTGCTTTATTTTCATCCAATTTACCATCTAAATTCTCCCAATGTTTTTTTTGCTTTGTTTTGTTTTGTTTT